CAAAGTCGCCTTGATTTGAATTAAATGGAAATGTAATAGAAATGTAGGATGTCGATTTCATTTTGATTATGTTGTTTTAATTTAATTTTAAACTACTTGTTACTTTATAATTTATAGTTTATAACTTGGTATGTTGTAGACTTGTAGTTTTAATTTCATTTCAGATTTGAATATATTTGTTACAGGGACATTTTTATTATCACTATTAAAAATTAAAAATTGCATTTTTTTATTTTTTTTGTTTTTTGCTAACGTCAGCATGATGATGTTACGGTCTGACCCGTTGGTCGGACCGTTCGACTCGTCAAACCCGTGACCCAGTGGCTTGGCCAGGTTGGCCCCCAAGTCGGGTTTTAAACCTTGATTTCTGGTGATTGTTTTATAAAAAAAGCCTTTTTCATAATATTATATAATTAAATATTATATTATTATACTATATATTATAATAATATTAATATATTATTAATTAAGGGTAAAATCGTAACAAAATTAAGATTATAATCTTAGAATACCAATTTCTTAGGTGGTATTTAGATTGCTTTTATACGATCTATTACTTTGATATTAAAAGATTACAGAAATATTTTATTCCCTCTTAACCAAATATGGTAATGACAATAATATAAAATGACATTATTGAGATAATAAATATTATTTCTAATTAGGGGTGCATACGAGTTGAGTCAAACACCACAGTGTTTAAAGCTTAGCTTGTGAAAATTTAGCGAGCTCAAGCTTGGCTCGTTTAAGTGTCACATTTTGGCATTTTCACAATTTTATATGCAAAATGGTAAATACAAGACCCCTAGAAATTTCAAAACTTGCATATACCCCCTCTCGAGCTTGGTTAAGTTCGCAAGCCACTCGAGCTGAGCATCAAGGAGCTTGAGCTCGGCTTGACTAAGGACTTGAGACGCTTGAGCTCTATTCGAGCCCGAATTACTCGCAAACAGTTCTGCTCGGCTACACCCCTACCCTTAATCAAACGCACCCTAAAAAGTCATTTAATTAGTTTGAAATTTCCCATTCTAACTATCCTAGCCGCTAGCACTTTCTCATCATGTGTGATATCGAGGCTCTGGTCAGACAGCTTCAATTCTGTCTGGTTGAATCACGATTAGTGCAAACTAATATTATATTGATACAAATGGTTGCCTGATCAACTTCTAATATATATTGAAGTTTGCTCCTGTTCTACTATAATAATATTCTTCTGAAGTTGAGAACCAAAGGCTCTAACTAATTAGATGAGGAAACTTGCATATTCAGGTTCCTAATACAAAAAATTTAGATGATTATGTCACTTTCTTTATTACGTAGCTTTCTGAAGTCTTTTGCTTATGATTGTCCTTTCCCAGGCCAGCTGGTCTAGTCTTTTGTTTATTACTGGGATTAGGTCATTGGCTTTTGTATTTGGAGGAGTGTTTTAACTTATATCGATGGAGATAGATTCCATTTCAGTCATCAATTTTCTTTAACAATATCTGCTCCTCAGAAAGGGCTTGGCTTGAATCCCTTTCACAAGGCATTTGGAAAAAAAATTATCATTATCTTCGTCAAGGCATAATATAATAAACAGCAAAAATACTTTCATAAAAGAGAAACCTGAGCAAGCTTACAGGCTAACACAGTAGGGAACATCTGATACAACATACAAGGTTTATACAGAAAATATTTACAGATTTTTTTCTGCAGAGGATTTTTACTGCTTTTTGTGCAGAGATTTTTGATTTCACCCTGGACTGTCGAAACGCTTCCCTTTTATTCCAAATGGTTATGTGCTTGAGTTGAAAACCGAAAACAAATCCGAGAAATTCCCGGGACAGAATCCATGATAAGATGAGTAAAGCTACATATCCCAAGTTTGTATCCCAGATTTTGCATGGTGAGACACATTATTTACAATGCAAAAATTAGTATACAATCTTGAAATGTATAGCAGTACTCTGATGTTTCAGAACTGCGGCCGGAAGCCACCCTGAAACTCCATTTTTGGAGGAGATGTATATTCTTGTGACTCTAGAGGGTTTTCATCTCAGAGTTTCCATTCCTCAGGAAATTGGACATCACTCCATTTAATGACCAAGGATTTCAAATTATTATTTTCACAATAATTTTTTCTTGTAACAACTGTTCGACCACAATAGGATTGTCTCCATGTCATGGTTGTGATTCTGGAAATATTTGGACTTCTAACCTTTGTTTGATGAAAAAGGGTTTCTCCCATACGGCTAGATTTTTTCGCCGCAGGGTTAATTGGGTTCGGCATACATTTGTAATGAACTCTATACATCAGAACAAATGGAAAAGAAGTCCCTTGTATTTCCAAATTGTTAAACTTGATATAGAGTGACAGGACATGCAAAATATTTTGATCTTCAAGAGAAAGCATGATGTTTGGATAATAATTAAAATGGACCGGTCCATCTGCAAGAGGATATTCAAGAACGCTCAATATGGAAGAATAGAAATCAAGCATTCTCTTGTCTCTCAAGCAAAGTAAAATCGATGTGTCATTTACCTCATGAGAGAGCGATTTGACACCAACCTGGACTAATCCAATATGCAAAAATTTGTACTTTTTCCTGTGTTTTTGTATGGCTTGTGGATTGAATAATTGAATGGGTTGTTGGCTGTGAGGAAGTAAGATGGTATCTTCAGTAGTTTTGATGGAATGGTCTTTTTTGAAATTGAAAATGCTTGTTTTTGTTTCATAAATTTCTTGTTTTGAAACCTTTGGAAGGTCCCAATTTTCTGCCAAAGAACTCGTCATGTAGCAAGAAATAACACAAAAATATACGCGTAAAAGTAATAAAGACCAAGGAAACTTACAAGGAAGACTCTTGTTTGAGATGATAAGAGAACGCTTTGAGGCAATTTTGCTTTGATTTTTAAAGGAATATGCAGATATTTTAAGTGTCTTCCTTTTGATTGAGGAGCTCTTTTTAAAGCACTTGATCTTCTCTGTTGACTGTAGTGCTTGTGATCTTTTTCATATTTTTTTTTCCTGTTTTTTTTTCTTTTCAATTTGGTAATAATCTTGCTATTGCCAGTCTTTTGCTTTTACTTTCATGATTGTCCTTGGCTGCTTTAGTTTTTTGTCGTATTGCTTGAGAGGATTATGTGGATTTGTTAGTGGTTATCATTCGAAGTTCAAAACCATGCATTTTATCATATTTTAGATAAATTAGGTTGATTATAAATACTCAGGATAATGGATGATTTTGAGCAGCTTCGCTAAAATATTCAGGGAATTTTGGCACATATTTTAAGGCAAAACATTCAGACGTTTTCAGCAGAATTTATAGGCAGAGCAGAGAATATTTACTGTTATGCTCGAGAACCATTTCTTTGTAGCTTGTTTGCGAGGAGATTTTGCCTCTCCAGCTTGAAGGACAGTCTACATTCATCTTGATTGATTTGAAGAAAATTAGTTGACATGGCCTCATGAGAATTTAAAGAGTAATATTACGCCTACAATATTTTCTCATAAATTTTCTCTCACAACTCTGATGTGGGAGCTCGTGATTGATTAACTTATAAATGAATCCCGTTTGCTCACTCTGGGTCCCATCCACCCATCCATTTGTGAACTGACAAATTTCGAGTTATCAAGTCAAGGTTGTGAGAGAAAGTTTGTGAGAAGAGATTGTTAACGTAATATTTTTGTAATTTAAATTGTCATGCTAAATTTGAGGTATCATTCATTTTTATGTATATACAAGTTCATATCACAAAAACCAGGCTGAAGCTTTTACATTGAATTAAAATTTGCTGTAAAATAATTTAGAATTTTCTGAGCTAGAGGTGGAATTAATGAACAAATGGTCATGAAATTTCTATTTTCTGAATTTATCGATCAATGTTAGCAATCCCTATATTGTAGAGGACTTTTTCTTGGTGGAACCTGAAGCCATTTTTTTTTTCTTCAGGATGCTGAATGATTCGAGCAGATTCAACCTTTTTATTCTCAAGAGGGCTCTCATTTTCTGACTTTTATTATTATTTTTATGTCTAGAAATCCCGTACATTTGCTTCACAAGTCCGAAACTGGAGTCTCCAACAAACCCTGCCATTGCTAGGAAGCAGTTAAATATGGTTTTATTGGTTACATAGATGTCCATGAGAAGGCTTGAACCCGAGACCCTGTGGAAGCAAATTATCTGATCATCCGGCTAATTCCTCACGGGTGTCACTCTTGGACTTTCCGTTCCTCAAGAAATTGGATCACATCTTTACACCGCAGTTCTTCTCTGATATAATTTGAGGTGGGCCTGACTCCTCACCCAATAAGGCCTTGTTGAATGGGAGGATTACCCTCTCCTATAAATCAGTAGGCTTAAGCGTGCCTAGTCGATGTGGGACTCCAACACTCCCCCTCACGGTCAAGCCCATATGTTGGGTCATGCCTGTTATTGGAGGTAGTTGCTGGCTTTAACTCCTCACCCACTGGTCAAGTGCTCAGGTCAACTGAACCTGGGCTCTGATACCATGATAGAATTTGAGGTGGGCCTAACTCCTCACCCAATAAGGCCTTATTGTTTTTGATGGAGAACCTTTAGGCTCTAATAAATTAGATGAGGAAAATTACATATTTTAACTTCTTAATTCAGAAATCATATGATGATTGTGTGACTTCTTTTTCATGTTGCTTTTTGAAGTCTTTTGCTTGTGACTGTCCTTTCCCAGGCCAGCTGCTTTAGTCTTTTGTTTATTACTGTAGTAATTAGTTCATTGGTTTCTGCTTTTGGAGGAGTGGTTGGACTTGTATTAATGGATATAGATTCCATTTGAGACTTGACTCATCTTCAAAGCATAGTATTGCCAGCACATTTTCTGCATTATCATCGTTGGCGACATTGTAGTTGAAATAAAGATTTCTTCTATCCTTTTCTTATCATAACTATTACTAAGAAAGGGCCTACATTGAATTCCTTTTTAAAGGCATTTGGGAAAAAAATTGAGCAAACTAATAACAGAAATCTTATATATAGTACATGGAAAAACAGAAAAAAAATACTTTCATAACATAGAAATTTGAGCAAACTTACAGGCAAACACACTACGAAACTTATGATACAGATAGTTTCTGATACATGATTAAGACACAAAATATAAGCAAACTGTGATTCAATTCATTATTGTCAGACAACATACTCTCTTAATACTGCTACATCCTTCCTCTTTCTGTTACAGATGATCTTCACTGTCAGGCCTGTGAACCAATTCCATTTTGCTTGTTTGTGCATAGATTTTTGCTTTATAGACTGACAACATTATTTAGGAAGCAAAAATTAGGACACAAAGTTGAAATGTATAGCATTACTCGGATCTTTTAGAACTGTGGGCGAAAGCCACCCTGAAACTCGATCCTTGGAGGAGATGTATACTCTTGTGACTCTGGAGGATTTTCATCTCGGAGTTTCCATTCCTCAGGGAATTGGACATCACTCCATTTAATTGTGGATTCCATATTTTGCATAACTGTTTGTGATGGTACACAAATACCGGAACCACGCAACATAACGAAGCTGACTGTTCTTCTACCCTTGTGCCGAAAACAGGTTTCACCAGTGCGGCTAGATTTTTTGGCTGCGGAGTTGATTGGGTTTTGCATACATTTGTAATGAACTCTATACATCAGCACAAATGGAAAGGTAGTCCCTTGTATTTCCAAATTGTTAAACTTAATATAGAGGGACAGAACTTGCAAAATTTTTGGATCTTCAAGAGAAACGATCATGTTTGGATAATAATCAAAATGAACGGGACCATCAGCTAGAGTATATTCAAGAACACTTAATATGGAAGAATCAAAATCAAGTATTCTCTTATCTCTCAGGCAGAGCAAAACTGATGAATCGTGATCCTCACGAGAGAGGGATCTGACACCAACCTGGACTAATCCAATATGCAAGAATTTGTATTTTTTTTTATGTTTTTTTATGGCTTCTGGATTGAACAATTGAACTGGTTGTTGCCCGTGGGGTAGTAAAATGCTATCCTCAGTAGTTTTGAAGGAGTGATCTTTTTTGAAATTGAAAATGCTGGTTTTTGTTTCATAAATTTCTTGTTTTGAAACTTTTGGAAGCTCCCAATCCTTTCCATGCAAGTAATTTGTCATGTTATGTTCTTTACTAGCAATGAAAGAAAATATATGGTTAGAAATAATATAAATATTTGCCTAAAGTGAAAAAGATCAAGAAAACTTACAAGGAAACTCTGTTTTCAGATGATTGGAGAAAGATCTGATGCTGGTTTTTTTTTGATGTTGGGTAAAAACAACAGAACAGATTTTTGAAGGAATATGCTTGGATGCAGAAATTTTCTGTGTCTTCCTTTTGATTGAGAAGCTCTTTTTAAAGGCACCCAATCTTCCTTGTTGACTTCAGTGACTATGATATTTTTCATATATTTTTTTAATTTAATAATACTCTTGCTATCGTCAGTCTTTTGCTTTCGCTTTTACTTTCATGATTGTCCTTGGGCCCTTGGCTGCTTTAATTTTTTGTTGCGTTATGAGAGGACTGTGTGGACTTGTTAGTGGTTATATTATCATTTTAAGTTCAAAATCATGCATTTTATCATTTCTAAATAAATTAGATTGATAGTAAATGCTGGGGATAATGGATGATTTGAGCAGATTAGCCAAAATATTCAGGGAACTTTTGGTACATATTTTAAGGCAAAATATTCAGACGTTTGCACTGGAGATTTTTATGAACAAAAAAATTAACATTACAAAAACCAGGCTGAAGATTTCACATGGAAGTATAATTGCAGTAAGGGCATCTCCAACCCACGCCAAAATGGTGCAAAAAACACCAAATTGGCGTGGGTTGGCAGTCCAACCCACGCTAAACACTGCGCCAAAATGGCGCAGTGCTACAGTGCTGCGCCAAATTTGGCGCAGCACTGTAGCACTGTGCCAAAATGGCGCGGTACTGTAGCAAAAAAATAATTTTTTTTTAATTTTAGTTTTTTTGTTTTTTTTTTAATTTTGTTAAATTAATTTGAGTATTAAATTTTACACCAAAAATCACACCAAATTTGAGTATTTGTACTTAATTTAATTTGATTATTATTTATAATAATAAATTTATAATAATGATATAATTTAAAAAATGATGAAAAATTAAAAATAGAACTTTATTCAATGCAAATATTAAACTACAATAACTCAAAATAAAAATTAACACTAATTTAAAAACACTAAAATTAAAAGAAAATATAACATAAACTAAAATAACAATTTAGTATTCCGGTAGATTAGTTCCGGATCCAGTAAGATCATCAAAATATTGAAAAAAACTTGAATAGACAACACATCTTTTTTTTTTTGTATCATTTTATATTAGATGTAATGTTTTTCTATATTAAATGTAATGTTTATTTGATTAAATAAATGCTTAATTCTATTAAATTAGTATAATTTTCAAAATAATTATTATTTAATAAAAATATCATTCCCAATATTTAATTAATATATACAAAAATAATGAGTGAAATAAATTAATTGTTGATTATTACAATAAAAGAAAAAAAGAATATTCTAAAGAATATTCTAGGGAATATTCTTTTTAGTGCAATATTTGGTGTTGTGGGTTGGAGATGGAATAGTGTTTTGCACCAAATTTTGCACAAATTTGGTGCAAAATTGCACCAAATTGGTGCAATGGGTTGGAGATGGTAAGTAGCTTAGGTTTTCCGGAGGATTCTCATCTTGGACTTTCCACTCCTCAGGAAATTGGATCACATCTTTACAACTATATATTCAGAGGGGTTTTGATACTTTTTACGGGAATTTTGATAAATCAGACTATTCTTAAAGGATTCTATCTAATATCCCTCAAAAAATATAAAATAGCATTACATTTTTTTTATGAAGCTATATATTCTTTAAGTTATTGTTTTAGTATCTAATACAACAAGACAATCATTAATTTCCTTTTTCATCTCTGTACAGGTTTCTTTAGAGTGGATCTTTGCAATCTCTGAGAAAATAAGTTGACATGGCCTCATGATAATTGAAAAAGTAATACTACACCCACAACCTTTTCTCTCAAACTTTTTCTTATAACTCCGATGTGAGAGCTCGCGATTGGTCAGCTCACAAATAGGTTCGTTTGCTCACTATAGGTCCCACCTACCAATTTGCGAACTAACCAATCATAAGTTGTCACGTCAAGGTTATAAGAGAAAGTTTGTGACAAGAGATTGTTAACGTAATATTTTTGAAATTTAAATTGTCATGCTAGATTTGGGGTATCATTTATTTTTATGAATATAAAAGTTCATATCACAAAAACCGGCTGAAGCTTTTACATTGAATTAAAATTTGCAGTAAAATAATTTAGAATTTTCTGACCTAGAGGTGGAATTAATGAACAAATGGTCATGAAATTTCTATTTTCTGAATTTATCGATCAATGTTAGCAATCCCTATATTGTAGAGGACTTTTTCTTGGTGGAACCTGAAGCCATTTTTTTTCTTTAGGATGCTGAATGATTCGGGCAGATTCAGTCTTTTTATTCTCAAGAGGGTTCTCACTTTCAGACTTTTATTATTATTTTTATGTCTAGAAATCCCTTACATTTGCTTCACAAGTCCAACAAGGGTGAGCACGGGTAGCGGGTAGAATTGGAACCTGCGAGTAAAACCGAAACCTATATGGAATCGACACTGTGCGGGTAGGTTCTGGTTCTAATTTTTTTGGAACTGACATTGTGCAGGTTCGGTTCTAGTTCTTATATGTGAAGGAACTAGAATCAGAATCGGAATCAGAACCTTGGATGAGAACTAGAAGCGGGTACCCGGTTTGTAACCTGCTTGGAATTGAGGGCGGGTACCCGAATTGAAACTTGCCTTGGAACCGAGGTCAGGTACTCGGTATGGAACCTGTATTTTAACCTGGGACTGAAACAAAATATGTGTAAATAGTGGGGGGTCTATGTAATTTTACATATAAAAAATTATAATATGGGACTGACATGTGTTTTCATGTTAGATAAAAAATTTAAATTAACATAATTAAATATATATACAATTATACATATAAACTTCACCATATAAAAAACTTTAATATATTATAATAACCTAATCAAATATAAAGTACTATATACTTCACTATATATATTAAAGTTTTTACATATAAAAAACTTTAATATATTATAATATTAAAGTTTTGATTAATTAAGTGTATAATTGGAATTAGGATCCAATTAAAAGTGTTTTAATGTTATTAAAAGAATTATTTTTGAATAAAATAGTATATTTGAATGAATAATATTTAGTTATTTACTTCAATTATCAAGTTCTAAGTATATCTACAATTAATTGTATATGGTAAATTAATAAACATTAGTACATTACTAGTTAAATGATTACTTAATTAATTATAACATTATATTATAGTTAAATATTTACTTAATTAATTATAACATTATATTATAGTTAAATGATTAGTTAATTAATTATAAGTTTATAATATTACATTATAAACATTAGTAATCTATTACATTAGTAGTTTAGTAAATTACTTAATTAAATGATTAGAAATTTAATTAATTATAATATTACATTATAGATTTATGATCTGATTACTTAATTAATTCTAACATTACATAATAAACATTAGTAATTTACTACATTAGTACATTATTTAATTAAATGATTATAAATTTAATTAATTATAACATTACAATATAAAGATTAGTAATTTACTATATTAGTACATTACTTAATTTAATGATTATAAATTTAATTAATTATAACATTACATTATAAACATTAATAACTTACTACATCAGTACATTACTTAATTAAATGATTAGAAATTTAATTAATTATAACATTACATTATAAACATTAGTAATTACTTAATTAAATGATTACAAAGTTAATTAATTATAACATTACATTATAAATTATGATGAATTGATTGAATTCAAGTGTTGCCTAGAGATTAGGGGATATATGAGTCACATTGGACACAAATGAATGAGTAGTCAAAAGTTGAAAACTACTAAATGCATGTTTTGTTAATTTGTTAAGGGTGTATTTATAAACTTTTAAGGTATTTTTGTCATTTTTTAAACTAACAGGGGATAATTATTTTTATAGGGTACCCAGGTAAGGAACCCGAACTTGCATTTTAGGTTCCGATTTCATGAATTTAAGAACTGGAACTGACAACTTTCGGTTCCTTTTGCTTAGAACCTGCATTGTGCGGTTTTAGTTCTAGTTCCCCCAAAAATTGCAAGATACCTAGAACTACTTACCTCTACAAATACGAAACTGGAGCCTCCAACAAACCTTGCCATTGCTGGGAAGTAGTTAAATATGGTTTTATTGGCTACACCGATGTCCATGAGAAGGCTTGAACCCAAGACCTTATGGGAGCAAATCATCTGATCATCCGACTAATCCCTCATGAGTCTTACTCTTGGACTTTCTGTTCCTTAGGAAATTGGATCACATCTTTACAATGTAGTTCTTCTCTAAGGATTCCCCAACATTTTAGAACACAATGGATCAAAAGCAAAGATAACAGGCCAAACTGATATTTTAATAGTATCAACTTGTGCATAATGCCATAATTAACTATTGTGAAAACACACTGACAGAGAGCACAAAAAGAGTCAATAGTATCTTTCAGGGCATGTTTGGTTGGGGGTAATTCCAAATTACTGAGATAATGTCATCTTTTATTACTTGATTATCATGTTTGATTGTTAAGTAATATAAGATTCCAATAATCTTCCATAACCAATAGTAGTTATTATTGGTAATATAAGAGGTAATCTAATTACCTCAATTTTTTTAGGTATTTTAAGATTACTTGGTAGTCTTATTTTTGTTACAATTTTATTCCTTATTAATAAAATTTTGGACAATAATGCCCTTATTTTGAAATTAATTTACATTAATATGTCATTACAATTTTACCAATATTTAATTAAATTTTTGAACAATAATGCCTTTATATTTAAAACAAATTGCAGGCCACCCATGACCACCGTTGCCCACCAGCCACCACCACCGGCAATTGGCCAACCACCACCGACTGTTGCCCGAAGTCGTCGAAAGTCTTTAAAAATTACTGCCATCCGTCGATATGGCCGCAGATCTGGTCGAAAATGGCCAACTTTATTCTGGCTGTTTTCGGCCAGATCTACGGCTTTTGGCCATTAACAACTAGATAGAAATGGCCATATCGGTGCACGGTTGGCTAGATCCAGTTGTTTGTGCATCGTTAAGGCCAGTACCGACGTCGTCGATGGTGGTGACAGGTGGCCGGTAGTGACTTTGGGTGGGTGGGGGTGTTTTTGTTAAGTTTTAAAGTTTTCTAGTTGCTAGGGTGTTTTAGCAATATCTCAAACGTAAGGGGTTCTAAGAAATTATTCAAAAAATAATAATATATTAATATTTAAAAATAAAGGCAATTTAGTAAAATTATATAATATACCCACCAATTTATTCCTCCTAATCATACATATTAATATAATATAACTACTAATTTATTTTAATCAATCAAACACATTTCCTTAAATATTCCCAATAATCATCAAGGTAATCTAACTTTTTATTAATATAATATTTTTAATAATACAACATTTTCTAAACCAAATACACCTTTAAAACACCAAAAGGGCTGTAATTTTCCGATGCATTATAAAACCAAGGATGGAGACAATCTTATCTTATGCGCTTGTGATGTTTGTGTCGCTTTCTGAGTTAGCTTGTTTTAGAAGGGCTTCTGCTTTTTGAGTAAAAAAGTTTGTGTCCACTTCCTCATCTAATTTGTTTTACATGGGCTTTTTGCTTTTGCTTTTTGACTTAAAATATTTGTGTCACTTTCTCAGTTAACTTGTTTAAGAAGGGGCTTCTACTTTTACAAAGATAACTTCTTGTAAAAGGCTCGACTTGTTTTAAAGTGTTTTCTTTTATTGTTCAAAAAGTCTTTTCATTATTATTTGATAAAATAGGGTTTTGGGTAGAACTCAAAACCAAAAACTCAATCTCTCTCTCTCTCTCTCTCTCTCTCTCTCACACACACACACACACACACACACACACATATATATATCAAGTTGGTAAACAACTTCTAATAATTATATCATTTATAGTTACCACAATTTATTTAAATAAAGTATAATAATATATTATATCTGATCAAAATATCTTATATGTTATCAAAATCTTATATGGGATGACTAGCAAATTGTTTTTGATGTAGAACCTTTAGGCTCTAATAAATTAGATGAGGAAAATTACATATTTTAACTTCTTAATTCAGAAATCATGTGATGATTGTGTGATTTCTTTTTCATGTTGCTTTTTGAAGTCTTTTGCTTATGATTATCCGTTCCCAGGACAGCTGCTTTAGTCTTTTGTTTATTAGTGTAGTAATGGATATAGATCCCATTTGAGACTGGACTCATCTTCAAAGCATAGTAGTGCTAGCACATTTTCTGCATCATCATCGTTGGGGACATTGTAGTTGAAATAAAGTTTTCTTCAATCCTTTTCTTATCATATCTATTACTAAGAAAGGGTCTAAATTGAATTCCTTTTTAAAAGCATTTGGAAAAAAAATTGAGCAAACTAACAACAGTAATCTTATATATATAACATGGAGAAACGGAAAAAAATACTTTCATAACAGAGAAATTTGAGCAAACTTACAGGCAAACACACTGGGAAACTTATTATAAAGATAGTTTCTGATACAAGATTAAGACAGAAAATATAAACAAACTGTGATTCAATTCTCTCTTAAGACTGCTACATCCTCCCTCTTTCTGCTTCAGGTGATCTTCACTGTCAGGCTTGTGAACCATTTCCATTTTGCTTGTTTGTGCACAGATTTTTGCTTTATAGAATGTGCAGAAAGATGAATAAAGCTACATGTCCCAAGTTTTTATCCCAAATTTTGCACATATGACACATTATTTAGCATCCAAAAATTAGGATACAAAGCCGAAATGTATAGCATTACTAAGATCTTTTAGAACTGCGGCCGAAAGCCACCCTGCAACTCGATCCTTGGAGGAGATGTATACTCTTGTGACTCTGGAGGATTTTCATCTCGGAATTTCCATTCCTCAGGGAATTGGACATCACTCCATTTAATCATTTTGGATACCACAGGTATCCTAGTTCTGCCAGTTGTTGAATTCCCACTAAAGACTCTGACTGGTCTTTTAACCTTTGTTTGCTTAAAAAGTGTTTGACCAACGCGGCTAGTTTCTTTGGCTCCGGAGTTGACTGGGTTTTGCATACATTTGTAATGAATCCTATACATCAGGACAAATGGAAAAGTAGCCCCTTGTATTTCCAAATTGTTAAACTTTATATAGAGGGATAGAACTTGCAAAATTTTTGGATCTTCAAGAGAAACGATCATGTTTGGATAATAATCAAAATGAGCGGGGCCATCAGCTAGAGTAGATTCAAGAACACTCAATTGAAGAATCAAAATCAAGTATTCTCTTTCTCTCAGGCAGAGTAAAACTGATGTGTCATGATCCTCGCGAGAGAGTGTCTGACACCTACCTGGACAATCCAATATGCAAGAATTTGTATTTTTGTTCATGTTTTTCTATGCTTCTGGGTTGAACAATTGAATTGGTTTGTTGCACGTGGGGTAGTAAAATGGTATCCTCAATAGTTTTGAAGGAATGACTTTTTTGAAATTGAAAATGGCTTTTGTTTCATAAATTTCTTGTTTTGAAACTTTTGGAAGGTCCCAATCCTTTCCTTTCATGTACCTGACATGTTATATTCTTCACTAGCGAGGAAAGGATATATTATTTATAGCAAGAATATATAAATATTTGCCTAAAGTGAAAAAGATCAGAAAGCTTACGAGGAAACCTTGTTTCGATGATCGGAGAAAGATTTGGGTAAAAACAGAACAGATATTTGAAGGAATATGCTTGGATGCAGAAATTTAATGTGTCTTCCTTTTGATTGGGACTCTTTTTAAAGGCACTCGGTCTTCCTGTTGACTGTGTGCTTGTGATATTTTTCATATTTTTTTTTAATAATATCTTTTGCTTTCATATTTGTTCTTGGTCGCTTTAGTTTTTTGTTGTGTTCTGAGAGGAGAGGACTGTGGTTAAATTATCATTTTTATCATTTATAATAAATTAGTTGATAGTAATACTCAGGATAATGGATGATTTGAACAGATAAGCCAAAATTCAGGGAACTTTGGTACATATTTTAAGGCAAAATATTCAGACGTTTGCACTGGATTTTTATGAACATCAAAAAGTTGCTGTAAATAGTTTAGCTTTCCGGAGGATTCTCATCTTGGACTTTCCACTCCTCAGGAAATTGAACATCTTTACACTGCACTTCTTCTCTCGGGATTCTCCAACATTTTAGACCATAATAGACCAAAGCAAAGATAACTGCCACTGATATTTTGATAGTATCACTTGTGCATATTAACAGTTGTGAACACACTGACAGATTGCACAAATGACCCCAGGTATCCTTGAAGGTACCAAAAGGCTTGTAATTTTGTGATGCATTATAAAACCAAGGGAGACAACCCCTCCATCTGCGATAATTTTTTCCTTTCGACCTTTATAAATGAGCTCATAATGCATAAACAAGGCTGAAAATGATATTAGCATAGCAAATTTGTATTGAGGCTTATGCGCTGATGAAAGTTGATCGAGTACTACTGAGGGAAGCTCCAATGAAATTGGAGATTGCAAAGATCCACTCTAAGAAACCTGTACAGAAACAAAAAGGGAATTAATGATTATCTTGCTGGATAGATACTAAACAATAACTTGAAGAATACACAGCTTCATAAAAAATGTAATTCTATTACAATATATCTTTTGAGGGAAATTTCCTTAAAAGTATCAAAACCCCTCTGAAATATAGTTGTAATACTTTCTGAAAAAACGGGTGTCTGGTGAAATTAATTGATATTTTAATTTCTACTATTTTGAACCTTTCGCCTCCGGCTATCAAAATTGCTATATCTGGTTCTATGCGGTAGGAGTCTCCAATCTCCACGGATCCAACAATCTGTTGAAATGAGTATTCTGCCTAGTACTTGGAGTCTGAAATAAAACAACATGAAGGTTAGCACTAACACAGGCTCACTACAAGAAATGTTTTCTGTCTTGCGATAATTCTGTTGCAAAAGATCCAACATGATATTACTGTACTGCAATTGGACTAGAAACCGGAAATTTCTAAAATTAAGCACCTCTTCAATCTCATAACTGCTGTTAATGCCATATGGAAAGGCATGCTCAGTTATTTGTCAGGGCTGTAACATCATAATCTCTAATATCTAAGAAGTCATATCCATCGTCTCCACTATCTCTAAACCAGTGTGTAGCTGTAGGCCTCCTGTTTAAACAGATACAAATACGTATATCAATTAGGAAATTAAAGAAGATTAAAGTCCGTTATAATGTTAACAGCAATATCAGAACCAGTGTTAGCAGATAACTGTATAAATACCATTAAGAAATACAAAAATCCTTGCATATTTTCTGATGGTTGTTTAAAGGGCGAACACTGGTACAACCCAAAGTTTACTGTAATGACAAGTTGTACTTAAAAGGTTTTGAAACGACAAATAGGTACCTTCTAGGGGTGTTCGGTTCCGGGTACCCTGCACTTTTTGAAGGAACCGGAACCGGAACTAACCGACGGTTCCTTGAAATTTGGAACCGAACCGGAACCGACGGTTCCGGTTCCTAGGTACCCAGAACCAGAAACTGTAAACGGTTTCCGGTTCCGTTCTGGGTACCCTGTAAAATTATATGACCCCCAAAAGTTTTTAAAATGGCAAAAAAACTCTTAAAAACTTACAATACCTCCCCACCTGCACTTGTTACAAAAATAAAATTACAAATTATAATTCAAAATTACAAACTCCTTACTTTGTAAAGGTAAATTCTCAAAAGTCAACCAACTTACTTTAAATGTTATAAATATAAATATAATGTATCACATTACTTTTTCTACAAAAGTTTTTATTAACTCCCCTACTTTAATTTTATTTTATATTAGTCTCGGTTCCTGGTTCTTGGTTCTGGTTCCGGTTCCTAACTATAGGAACCGGAACCGGAACCGCACAGTAACGTTCCAAAATTTGGAACCGGAACCTACCATTGACTACTGGTTCTTGAGGAACCGGAACCAAACCCAGGTACCTGTCGGTTCCGGTTCCAACCGGTTCTTTTGAACACCCCTAGTACCTTCCGTCATATTCTGTTAGTGATTTTTGTTTATTAATAGTGAAAAGACTAAAATGCCCTTCAAAGTTTCAATTTTTGTTTTTTTTAAATTTAAAAATTTCTAAAAAACCCCCTAGGTTTGCTAATTTAATTAAACACCCCCTATAATAAAAAGTTTGTTAAATGACAAAACACCCCCACCACCCCATGCCATTTTCTGGCCACCATCGCCGGAATCTGGCCGAAAAACTGCATTACGACACAGATCCCCATCGGATCTGTGTCGTAAAGTGCCGATGTGGCCTTTAAGGCCAGATCCGCCACGGATCTGGCCGGAAAAGGCCAATCTGCCGTCGAAGCAGCAGCCAATCTGGCCGTCGACGCCGCAATGGAGTTTTGCGGCGTCGACGGCCAGATCTAGCCTAGATCTGGCCTTTTCCGGCCAGATCAGCCACGGATCTGGCCGAAAAGGCTAATCACGCGTTACGACCACAATCCGACGGGTCTGTGTCGTAACGCAACTTTCCGGCCAGATTCCGGCGGTGGTGGCCGGAATCTGGCACTTGCCGGTGGGGGTGTTTTTGTTATTTTATAAATTTTTATATTTGGGGTATTTAGTGAAATTTGTAAACTTAGGGGTTTTTTTGAAATTTTTAAAAAAACTAAATTCAAACTTTTAAGGGTATTTTAGTCTTTTCACTATAATAAACATAATAAACAGAAATCACTAACAGAACATGACGGAAGTACCTATTTGTCATTTCAAAACCTTTTGGGTACCAACTTGTCGTTACAATAAATCTTGGGTATGTATAAGTCGTTCTCCCTTGTTTAAATCCAGAGAAGTTATCAAGGCTAGCAATCAGAATAGTCTCAAAGATATATAATAAATAAAATTATCCCACAGAAATTTGAAATAATCCAAGCATACAGAATATAATGATTTTCAAATAGCTAATTTTTGCACCTTTAGAACATTGTTTGAAGGAAAGAAACCTACCTAGAGCCACAGGCTCAGTACTGAAATGCATTTTCTGCAGTTTTTTCTTTGACAGGGCATCAATTTATTTGCTGATTATTCATTCAATGTTTCCCTGTCACCGAAAACCATGAATTAACAAAATTCTATGATTAGCTTGGAATGAGAGTTGAATTTAATTATACAAATTTTTTAAATATTTTAATTAATTATATTATCATATAAATGACTTTTCATAAAAAAAAAAAAATACCATTAACGTATTATATGTGCCGATCAATGTTCTAAGCCCGTTGGGCCATCATGTATTTGTGCTGCCCAGCTCACCAGGATTCTGAAATGGCAGGTGACAAACTGAAAATCAGTTAACTTTAACCCCTGATTAATGGCTAAAACTAAATATTGAAACAGTTCCAAAAAAAAAAAAAAAAAAAAAAAAAAAAACCCTATCAGCCGAACAATATAGTTGAATCAGCAACTAAAATAGCTTGAATCTGTGCTGGAAATGTAAGAGTCACAGCTGAAGTGCCATCTTTATTGGCAGGAACAAATATGGGTAATGAACTTATTATGCTTCTTACTATATATCTTTGAGAAAGTTGTGTTAAAAATGCCTTTTTCCCTCTGTGATTGATGAACTCTCTTATAGACACTTAAAACAATATTCTCTGTTGTGCTTATTATTTGTTTAATATAATTATCTTGCTTTTTCTTTTGTGGTCATTTCTTGGCTACTTCCAACTCTTAGTCTAAGTCAAGTCAATATCTTTGTCCTGTTCCAATTTTAAAGTAATGGTAAAGGACAATATTTCAGTTCAAACTACTTTTAAGGTCACTTATTAAGAGTGTGAATGGCTCAAAGAATGAGTGTTGACCTATTTCTTCATGAAACCAATCTTGACTGACCCATTAGAATGATTAGAGAAGATTCACAAATATTCAGAGAACTTTTGATACAAAGTTGAGATAAAATATTTAGATGGGATTACTGGAATTTCTTATTATCGGAAATTCTCTCTACCATGGGAAATATTGTGATCTTGGAGAACTGTCTCCACTTATTTTTTTATATTTTGAAGAAAAGCTGACATGGTTTGCTTGAATTCCATAGTTAAAAATTCTGAAACTAATTGTTCTGTATATGCTCAAATCTGGTCAATTAATCATTGAAGGTAAAACTGTTTTTATCCATCTTTTAAATTTATTTAAGGCTTTTATTGTCTTGTTTAAGAGTACTCCAAGTGCTGAGACAATTGTGAGAGTTTATTGTGGGTTGAGATTTAAGCTTGTAATACTTGGTTGTTTAAAAGGTGCGAACGTGTTGCCTCTTACTTGGAATTCCTGGTTTGGTTAGCTTCTGCACACAAAATGTTCAATAAATTTGCCACACTTCATTTTACAACTCTTATGGGTCATTATTTTTTTGTTACATAGTTCTGAATTATCATTGAACCATTCCATTTAAGCATCTAATTTAACTTTTTATGCTATCAGTTTATATTTTTTATGAATATAGTATTTCACATTACACACCAAGCAGAAGAATACACATAAATAATATAGCAATACATAATCTAGGATCATATGAGCTAACAAAAATCCGGAACTAACAGACAACTTGATCTTGAAATTTCTATTTTCTTAACGCGGTATTTGCCAAACCGAGGAGGATTCCCCAATCTTTCTTGGTGGAAACACTACCCGGACTGAGCCATCAGGATGCTTAATGATCCGACCGCCTTCAGCTTGTGTATTCTCCGGAGGATTCTCCTCTCGGACTTTCCATTCCTCTGGAAATTGGACCTCACTCCATTTGATGATTCTGGGAACATCAGCACTTGGCCTTTTGATGTTTGTTTGAAAAATGAGGGTTTTGTCAAAGCAGCTGGATTTTTTGGCAGCAGTGTTGAAAGGGTCTATCAGGCATTTGAAATAAACTCTGTATATCAACACAACTGGGAAAGAAGTTTCATTCATTTCTAAATTCTGAAGCCTGATGTTTAGTGCCAGACAATTCCAAACAATTGGATCTTGAAGAAAGAACATGATGTTTGGATAACAGTTGAAATAAACAGGACCATCATCCAGGCTTGATTGAAGAACTCCTAATAAAGATTGATTGAAATCAAGCAATCTCTTGTCTCTCAGGCAAAGCAATATCGAAGTGTTGAACCCTTCGCGCGTAAGGGGTTTGACACCAACCTGGACTAATCCTACATGCACATATTTATATTCTTCTCTGTATCTTTTTATAGCTTGCTGATCAAACAAACTGATGGACTCAAGCTTGTTATTCAATGAAATGATGCGCTCAGTAGTCTGAATGGAGTAATTTTTCTTGAACTCAAACATGCCCTTTTGATAAACCTTTTTCTTGGAAACTTTTGGAAGTTTCCATTTCTGCAAATCGTTTTGATGATTAGTATCCGAGGTTAAATTAGGCAGCACTGATCCAACTGAAGTTGAAGAATCCATCCTGAAAGACTATTGTGAATTTCTTAATGATAAATTTAATAAAGCAAACCATTAAAGTATTTAAACATTGAAGATGATAACAAAGTCTGAGTGAACTTACAAGATAACACTAACTTGAGATGATCAAGTTGATGAAAATTGTCTTCAGAGTTGATTCAGAAAAGATCTCAAGAGAAAATGCAGAAGCTCTATGAGGAATATTTTCTGAGGGGAACTGTCTCTTAGAACTGCTTCATATCTTCCGAGAGATTTGCTTATAAAGGCACTGGAGATAATCTTATCTATTGGATTGTGATTGTGATGTTGATTTGCTTGACTTTAGAGTTAACTTCTTTAAGAAGGGCTTCCGGGCGTGTTTTTTTTTTTTTTTTTTTAATTTTTTTTTCTTAACTTCTTGGAGAAGGCTTTTCAACTGTTAAGTATTTTGTTTTATTACTGAGGTGGCTAATGAGTTGGCTTTTGGAGGACTGTTTCCATGATGAATCATTCCTTTGTCGGTGCCTAGTGGTCAGAGTATTAATTTGCATTTTCATCATCATCTGCTCTCAATTCAGAGAAAATTTCCAGTATCTAGCACTTCATTATAATTTGATACTGAGAAAGCTCTTATGAGATTTTCTTGAATGCCTTTTTTTTCAGCTACAAATTTTGAAACCAATGGCTTAGTACCAAAGAAGTTCCTCATCAGGTGAAACTCAAATCAACCATAATCTGAAAGATTTTCCCAAAGCAGTATCAAAATTTTTGGCAAAGTTTAATCTCAAGATATATTTGGTCTTGGTCAAAATTTATTCTCATAATAGTATTTTACTATAGCAGTCTGGTTTCTGCTTGTAAGGTATTTTTTTATGGTAAATTTTCTCTGAGAAGTTATACTGCAGTGAAAATATTTATTTTGCTTTTTTTAGTGCAAAAATAAGAGTACTTTTTTTTGCAGATGAGCTGTTATGAAATTAACAGGGGATTTATACTCCTCAATTTGTATCAAGAGTATGGGATCTTTTCTCTGATTCAACTCTTTTAGAGGCTAAACCTGTCTAAAGAGCTTTGGATTCTTAGTTTAGTTTAAGTTTTTTTCTGGATTAAATGGAGTTTTAACGTGATGTCAGAACTAAAAGTCTGAAATTCTAAGCTCAAATTTCTTCTTGGTTGAGGAGTTTTTCTGAGAATGTTCACTGTAATGCTTGTGAGCCTTCCCCTGTTACTTGTTTGTCCTAGGGTTTTTGCTTTAGCCCCTGGAGAACTGACTTGACTCCTTGATTGATTTTCCTGAGAAAAAGCTGATACATCTGCAAGAATTTTCTACTTTACTGAATCAAAAAATTCTGTTAACTAATGGCTCAAAGTGGTTTTTTTACAGCATATTTCTGCATGGTTATTGAACCTTCCTTGGATTCCTCTAGTCCCGGTAGGTTCTTTTATAAGTATAATTTGTACACAATCCAAACCACATACCAAACAAAATCAAAAACATAAACTAGTATTCACTGAGCTAGAGATAGAATGAGAAACTTGCTCTATAACACTTAATAACATTCTTCATTAATTGATGACAAATCCTGTAGAAGACTCCCCATTATTTCTTGATATGAACCGAATCCGGGCTACTCCATCAGGACACTGTATGGTTTGGGACGATTGACGTTCTTGTTGCTCCGAGGATTCTCATCCTGGAGCTTCCATTCTTCAGGAAATTGGATTTCACTCCACTTGATGACTCTAGGAATGTCAATACTTGGCCTTTTGATTTTTGTTTGGAAAAAAAGAGTTTTATCTCTGGAACTAGATTTTCTGGCAGCTGTGTTGAATGGATCTACTAGGCATTTGTAATGAACTCTATACATCAACACAACAGGGAAACAAGTCTCTTGGGTTTCCAAATTCTGAAGCTTAATATTTAGTGTAAGAACATGCATAATATTCGGATCCTGAAGAAAAACCATAATGTTTGGAAAACAATTAAAATAAACAGGACCATCAACAAGGCTTGATTGAAGAACACTTAATAATGAATTATTGAAATCAAGCAGCCTCTTGTCTCTAAGGCAAAGCAAAATTGATGTGTTGACTCCTTCATGTGTGAGCGGTCTGACACCGACCTGGACTAATCCTATATGCAAATACTTGTATTTCTCTGTGTGTCTTCTTACAGCTTGCTGATCAAACAATTTGATGCATTCAAGCTTGTTACTCAATGGAACTTTTCGCTCGGTTGTTTCGATAGAACAATCTTTTCTGAAATTGAAAATGCTTGTTTCATAGACTGCCTTTTTTGAAAATTTTGGAACTTTCCATTTCTTCAAATGGTTTTCTATGTTTGAGTTTTCCATGTTATGTTCGTCACTATTTACACTGTTTTTATTATTACTTGAGGTTGATTTAGACAGTGATCTTATCAATGAATTCATCCTGAAATCAATAATAAAATCAACTTAATAAATTTAGGCCAAACACCAAAATACCTCTCTCAGGTTACCTCTGCAACTTACTGCCGAGTTTGGCTCAATCTCACTGCAAAATTGAGTTCAAAATAGTATATATTACAAAATATTATATATTAATAGATGATATTAACAGAAAATAATGTAAATAAAAGCCTATAAGTGAACTTACAGGTTTGATTTGAGGCGATGAGGGGAGGATTTAAGCAAGTAGTCTTGATTCAGGATTAATGCAGAAAAGATAGAAGGGAATTTGCATAAGTTTGATTTGGAAATTCTTAACTAGGGGAAACTTTATGCTTATTAAACTGCTCTTATCTTTTTAAAGACTCTTTATAGGCACTGAAGAGATTCATATCCTTTGTGATTCTGATCCTTGTATGACTTTTTGAATAGTTCCTTTTGTTTTCATGATTGTCCTACTCTGCTTTAGCGTTTTGTTTTATTAGTGAGCTGGATTCCATTAGAGTCATCTTCAACAGTGAGAAAAGTTTTTGCTATTATTTCTCTGTATCACTATCAACATTGTCCTGGTCATGGTCATGGTCAACTTTGTCTTTGATTTATTCTAATTAATTGAAACAAGAACTTCAATAGGAATTTCTTAACTCGCCCTTAAAACCGGCTTATAAAGGAAGGAAGGATGTCCAAATCTTATAAAACCAATTATCAAGCTAGCTAGACTCGATTGACTTGATCATGACCCCGGAGGGGGTTTTGAGGCTTGATCATATAACAGTCATTCTGTGAAAATTTTTTAGATTTTTTTTCCTTCAGCCAAGTCAGTATTTTTCTTTTCATGAGTAATTAGGAGAGGTAGAACTAGTTATATGTTATAGGGTATGAGAATTTAAACGCATCTTAATGGGGTGATTGTCGATATCATGCACAGTAAATTTGTAGCTTTGCCAAATGTAAGATGAATCAATACATAATATGAGCAGCAAAAATATTTGCTCAATGCAGAAAGTCTTGAGTGCACTTACTGAATTGATGAGATAAAGGAAATTTTGATACAATAGTATACTTTTAAACTTTTTGATACTTGTTTGAAGACAGAAAATTTTGCTGAAGTTTTGAGTGGAATTCCCTACCAGGGGAATAGTCACTTTAATTGATTGCTTTTGCTTTTGTTTTGGAGGACTGTCAGGACTCAATCTTCATTGATCAATTCCAAAACAGTTTTCATGAAATTTGATAGAAAACACTAGAGCTCTGAGCATCTCCACGATCATCTTGATTTTTTTTTTCTTTTATTGAGTAAACAATTTTGTTAACACTTGCCAAAGCCTCTAAGATTGCATCACGATCTATTTCTTCGTGGAAATTGAATTTGGACTCTCCCATCTGGATGCTGGACGATTCGAGGAGATTCTTGTTCTTGTTCTTGTTCTCATGGAGGAATCTCATCAGGCAGTTTCCATTGCTCAGGAAATTGGATTTCACTCCATTTGCCATTTGGTACTCTCGGAAGAGACAACATCTGGCCTTTTAAGGCTTGTTTGGAATAAAAGGGTTCTATCTCTTGTGCTTGTTTTTTTGGCACCACTGTTAAAAGGGTCTATCATACATTTGTAATGAAAGTCTCTCTCATTTCTAAATTCTGAAACTTAATGTTAAGTGTCAAAACATCCTTAATATTTCTGCCCAGAAAAGAAATCATAAAATTCGGAAAATAATTAAATAAACCGGACCATCAACCAGACTTGATTGAAGAACACTTAATAAAGAATCATTGAAATCAAGCACTCTTTTATCTCTCAAGCAAGTTTAAGTGAACTTACAAGGAAACTTATGCAATTAGTCTTGGATCAGGATTAAAACAGAAAGATTTCCTTGGGAATTTTCTCTTAACTGCTATTATTTTTTCCTATGAAAATTTTATAGGAATGAGAAGAGAATCTTTTGACTGTTTACCGTTTGATTGTGAATTTAATGATTTCATTTGCAAAGCTTTGCTTAATCATTGTCCTGGCTACTCCAGAGTTCAGTGTTTGTTTTGTTGCTCAGATAGCAAATGGGATATGCTTTTGAGGATGTTTTTTGGACCATTCTTGGTTGAATGGTTCCATTAGAGTCATTTCATTCCTTTTGAGCTCTTGGGAAGAAATTTTTTTGATACAATGGATGCACATGTACCGCCATTAGAACAGGCGTGCATACCACATGTCCTAATGGACACACCTCGTTGGGCAGATGCATAAACATATGTATTCAATATGAGTTTCTTCATTGTGTTAGGCTCTGAAGTGAATCTTGTTTTACTGTTAGGCTTGTGATTTCTTTTGCAAGGCCGTTCGCTTTCATTTGCTCAATGATTGTACTCAACTTCAGAAGTTGCTCAGATTTCACATGCGTTTGCTGTTTCTGTTTCTACTTCATCATCATTTGAAACCAATAACTCTGTTAAAAACTCCTCTACCCTTTTTCTATAATAATTAATCTGATTTTAAGTTGTACACACCTCGTAATCTATAATGACAAGTTAGAATTTCACCGTCATGATCACCTATTTAAATCTTGGAAGTAGGGGAATTCAAATTTTAGACCGTGCATTTTAATCACACTTTTCAATACTCGTCTTACTACTTGAGCTATCGAAGGGTGGTCTTTGAAATAAAAGTTCTAAAAACCAATGGTTTAATTAGTGGACTGATTATGATCACATAAGTTAAGGGTTTAAAAAAGAGTAAACCACTTTTTCCTCCGAAATATGGCGTAACGACACTTTTCACCCAAATATTTTATAATACAATTTTACTACCCATAACAAATTTCTGTTAGTAAATTTCATTGAAGAGGGAAAAAATGGTAAAATTCCGTTAAAGGATGGGCAAAATGATCAATTAATATTTTGTATAAAAAAAATCAAAATTTTTAAATTCAACTGTGGGTAATTGTAGGCTGAATGGTTGTCACGTTTTTTTTTTTTTTTCATCCTTCTTCTCTCATCTCTTCTTTTTCTTTCCCTTTTTTTCCCTTTCATCCTTCTTCTTTCTTTAGTTAATGATTATTTCTCAATCCAAAACGGCCATTCCTCCCTCACTTCTCCTCGCTTCACTACGCCTCCCACTACCTCCCCTCTGTTGCTCCACCCACCTCCAACTCGCTCCACTTCCCCACCACCTTCCCTCCCCGCATCTCCCGCATAGCAGCACCAACCCACCCACTTCACTTCTCACTGTCACACCACACTACACCCCTCACTTGCTCTTCAAAACACACCCACACAGTCCCCCCCCTGCTTGCCAATTACCACCTGCGGGCCTTGATTATTATACTGTATTTCGGGTGATTGTTGTTCTGTATTTTCGGATTTTCTTGCTGTGGCTTGTTTTTTTGATGTTGATGGAGTATCTAGAGTTTGTATTGAAGTTTGGGTGGTTTTGATTGTTTATTTGGAGTGTTCTTGTGTTTATCTAGTCGGATTAACCCTATCAGTCACTGCCGTTCACTCCCGACCCATCTAACTTTCCCTGCTGTTTTGGTCGGATGGTGAGAAATTAAGACTTTTTAGAAGGAAATTTTGATGAGAATTGTTTTTAGGGAGGCTTTCTTTGGTGAAAAAAAATGTTACTCGAAATGTTATTTTAAGTAAGTACCTGAGAAGAAATGAGAAGAACTGATATAGAAAAAGAGAAAATTGTAAATGAGAGGAAAGAAGAGAAGTGGAGAAGGGATGAAAAAAAAAAGAAACAATTAGGTTTTTTTTTTTTTAATAAAGAAGAGAAGAATAAATATTTATTCTTAATTTATATTATATGAGGGCATATTGTAATTTAAATTAAAGAGTAGGTATATTAGTAATTGAAAATGACATAAAAATAATTTAAGTCAATGATAAAGGGTATTTTGTCTACAATAATAAATATCCCTATAGTTAACATAAATTATTAATAGATATAAAAAATTATATTTTAAACGTTTTGAGTGAGTATGTAGTTCACACTTATTTGGGTGGGAAAAAGTCATTTACTCTTAAAGAAAGCCACTGAATATTAAATCATGTGAATCATACCTAAATAAACAAATCTGAAATTCACAATTAAGAAAATTTATAATTAAGAAGTTGTACATGAACTATGCTAAAGCATGTCAAAAAGCTCATTTCAAAGATCATCCATATGAAATATGAGGTGGAGAAAACCTTGATATGATACCACAGCAGTATTATTTCAACCATTTCATCCTTGGACCTTGACAAGATCATTCGACGTCTCGAACCTTAACAGGATCATAATCATTCAATTATTTGAGACATTTGATTATTTCCAACATTATATCCTCGGCCTATTTAGTGGGGATATGATTCTTCTCTCTTACTCAACACTGTTCTTTTTAATAAATAGTTAAATACACGTGCACTCCGAAACTCGGATTTTAAGGGATGCGTTTGGTTTATTGTTATTATCCATATTCCCAATCATATTCTTCAAATGTTGTTTGGCACGTTATTCCTAAAATATTAGTCTATGTTTTAAATTATTTTTAGATCTCATAAGTTTATTAATTTCATTAAATACCCCCCAGAAAAAAAAGTTTAAAAACTAACAAAAAAACCCCTACCCACCAATACTTGCCAGATTCCGACAACCACCGCCGGTGGTAGCCAGAATTTGTTACAACAGTCACACGACCACCAGAAATGGCCAGTAATGGCCAGATCTGGCCGTTAGTGACGGCCAAATCTTGGCCATCATTGACAGACAACGACGACCATATGATGGCCTTTTTCGGCCGTCGAAGGTGACATTCGGCCTTAGATCTAGCCTTTTTTGGCTAGATCCGTGATGGATATGGCCAGAAAAGACCATATCGATCGAATACCCCCCAGATCTGACCGGTATATGTGGTTATCCAATTTTTCGGCCAGATTCCGATGGTGGTTGCCGGAATTTGGCACTGTAGGTGATAGGGGTGTTTTTATCATTTTACAATATTTTAATATATTCAGGTGTTTATTAAATTAGCAAACTTTGGGGGCTTTTTCATAAATTTTTAAATTTTATCTCGTAATACTCTACTATCCAACTATCCAATACTATCTCCAAAATTTTACCCAAAATAATAAATCAAACGCACCCAATAATATTTCTTTGTCCTTATTGCAAAGATTTTCATTATAACTTGGGCGAACATGAAGAAAAATCCTTATCAGACCCCACTTAATGCTTTGCCACGTAGCTTGGCTTCCATTGCTTTTGCCAAATTCCAAGAAAAAGCTAGCCATTAGATTATCAAACCAATCCTGACCGTCCAAACTCCTCCGTTTCAAACGCAACCATCCATGCCCTCCAGCCTATTTAAAGGACTGCCTCGTTTCTA